TCAAGTATTACTTCGTTCGGTTACGTGTTGGCGGTGGGTGATGCTGGTGGGTGTGCTGGTGGGTTGATACTGGTGGGTGATGCTGGTGGGTGATACTGACGGGTGATGCTGGTGGGTGATGCTGACGGGTGATGCTGGTGGGTGATGCTGGCGGGTGATGCTGGTGGGTGATGCTGACGGGTGATGCTGGTGGGTGATGCTGGTGGGTGATGCTGGTGGGTGATGCTGGTGGTTGATGCTGATGGGTGTGCTGGTTGATGTGATGCTGGTGGGTGATGCTGACGTTGATGCTGGTGGGTGATGCTGGTGGGTGATGTGACGGGTGGGTGACGGGTGATGCTGGTGGGTGATGCTGGTGGGTGATGCTGGGCGTTGATGCTGGTGGGTGTGCTGGTGGGTGATGCTGGTGGGTGATGCTTGGGTGTTGATGCTGGTGGGTGATGCTGGTGGGTGGTGCTGGTGGTGATGCTACGGGTGATGCTGGTGGGTGATGCTGGTGGGTGATGCTGTGGGTGATGCTGGTGGGTGCTGGTGGGTGATGCTGGCGGGTGATGCTGGTGGGTGATGCTGGTGGGTGATGCTGGTGTGTTGGTGCTGGTGGGTGATGCTGACCGGGTGATGCTGGTGGGTGATGCTGGGGTGTGCTGACGGGTGATGCTGGCCGGGTGTGGTGGGTTGATGCTGGTGGGTGTGGTGGGTGCTGGTGATGCTGGTGGGTGATGCTGACCGGGTGATGCTGGTGGGTGATGCTGGCGGTGATGCTGGTGGGTGATGCTGGTGGTGTTTGACGGGTGATGCTGATTGGCAGTTTGATGCTGGTGATGCTGACGGGTGGTACTGGTGGGTGATGCTGGTGGGTGATGCTGGTGGGTGATGCTGGTGGGTGATGCTGGTGGGTGATGCTGGTGGGTGATGCTGGTGGGTGATGCTGGTGGGGTGATGCTGGCGGGTGATGCTGGTGGGTGATGCTGACGTTACTGGCGGGTGATGCCTGACGGGTGATGCTGACGGGTGATGCTGACGGGTGATGCTGGTGGGTGATGCTGAGCGGGTGATGCTGGTGGGTGATGCTGGTGGGTGATGCTGGCGAATTGATATGACGGGTGATACTGGCGGGTGATACTGGCGGGTGATACTGGCGGGTGATGCTGACGGGTGATACTGGCGGGTGATGCTGGTGGGTGATGCTGGTGGGTGATGCTGACGAAGATGCTGGCGTTGATGCTGGCGGGTGATACTGACGGGTGATGCTGACGGGTGGAAATGCTGGCCAGGTGGCATTTTCGGTGGAATTGATACTGACGGGTGATACTGGCGGAATGCGGTGGGTGATGCTGGTGGGTGATGCTGATGGGTGATGCTGGTGGGTGGAATGCTGACGGGTGATGCTGGCGGGTGATGCTGGTGGGTGATGCTGGTGGGTGATGCTGACGGGTGATGCTGGTGGGTGATGCTGGTGGGTGATGCTGACGGGTGATGCTGGTGGGTGATGCTAACGGGTGATGCTGGTGGGTGATGCTGGTGGGTGATGCTGGTGGGTGCGATGCTGGTGCGTTGATGCTGATGGGTGATGCTGGTGGGTGCTGACGGGTGATGCTGGCGGGTGATGCTGGTGGGTGATGCTGGTGGGTGATGCTGACCGAATTGATGCTGGCGGGTGATGCGATGGCGGGTGAATGCACAATTGAGATGGTACCAATTGAATTGATGCTGGTGGGTGATGCTGGTGGGTGATGCTGATTAGATTGATGCTGGTGAATTGATGCGATGAAGATTGATGCTGGCGGGTGATGCTGGTGGGTGATGCTGGTTAGATTGATGCTGACGGGTGATGCTGGTGGGTGATGCTGGTAGATTGATGCTGGGCCAGATGCTGGTGCGTTGATGCTTGAGATTTGATGCTGGTGGATGCTGATTTGTTGAATTGATGCTGGGCGTCGTTGAGACTCCGTCGGACTTAGGACGGACGTATGGTGGGACCTGGACCTAACCTAACCTAACCTAACCTAGCCTAGCTAACCTAACCTAACCAATTCTAACCTAACCCAACAGACCACCATCCGTACGAACGCGTGAAATTCCGGCGTAAAATTGGCGGCAAGTCGATTTCACGGACGGACGGACAGACACCTGTGAGCAATATATAGATATCTTGAAGCTAAATGGCCCAATCTTCTGTACACACACACACAGACACACACACACACACAGACGCACTTGCACACACAGGGTATAAAAAAAGAAAGAGTGAAAGAGTCAGAGAGAAAACAAAAAGAAAAGATGCTAGAGAAAAGCAAAAAGAAAAAAAAGAACTAGAAGTAGATAGGAAGATGAAGTGTACAAAGGGAAGAAAAGGGAAAAGGAAGAGAAAGTGGCAAAAGAAAGTGTACAAAAGAGAAGAAATGGAGTCTAGAGAGAAAAGAAGAAAGTGTACAAGAAATAGGTCTAGAGAGAAAGGAAGAAAGTGTACAAAGGAAAAGCACGTACTGGGAGGAAGAAAGGGGTCTGGAACTATCAAAGGGACTGAGACAGCACCCTCTGAGGATGACAAAGAGAGAGAGAGAGAGAGACCTGGGGTGAGGAGGGAGTGGAGTGTGTCTCCAGGGGGCTGGAGGTGTGGAAGAAAGTGTGTGAGTGGGAATAGAGGTAGAGAGAGAGAGGGGTGTGAGAGGGAAAGAGGGGTGTGAGGAGGGTGGGAGAGAAAGGGGTGTAGAGTGGGGGGTGTGTGAGACAGTAGGGACAACCAGTTAACAGAGGGGAAATAAAGAGAGAGGAAGTGAGAGGCCCCAGGAGACGACAGGATAAATTTGAGGGAGGTATAGAATTTGAGAGAGAGAGAGAGCCAAGTCATTTCACGGGTTGATGGTGAAAGAATCGTAACTCCGAAATATATTACTATAGTTGTTAAAGTATACTATATATATTTTGAGGTAGGGAGGAGGGAGGTAGGGAGGGAGGGGGAGGGAGAGGGGGGCTTATAACGACCTGTGACTCATCATACTCCCCATTAGCCTCTGATCAGGAGTATAATTACCTGGTTAGCTCGTAACAAGACAGTTATTAGCTAGGAAGGAAAGCAATCATATGGAAGTAGAAAGATGTGACGACCTTCACACACACACACACACACACACAGACAGACAGACACACACACACACACACACAAACACACACACACACAGACAGACACACACACACACACACACACAGACACAGACAGACACACACAGACAGACACACACACACACACACACACACACACACGACAAAACACACACACACAGACACACACACAGACACACACACACACACACGACAAACACACACACGACAAACACACACACACAGACACACACACACACACACACACACACACACACACACACACACACACACACACAGACACACACACACACACACACACACACACACACGACAAACACACACACACACACACACACATACACACACACACACACACACACACACACACACGACAAATCACACACACATACACACACACACACACACACGACAATACACGACAAACACACACACACACACACACACACGACAAACACACACACATACACACACATCCACACGAGAGACGAAAGGGTGTTTAAACAGACTAGGAGGAGGAGGAGAAAGAAAGAAAGAGTCAGAAGGTTTTGACGAAGGAAAGAGGGAAGAAAGAAGGAAGGAGGAGGAGGAGGGAGGAGGAGGGTGTACGTGAGAAGGGTTTAACGAAGAGGGTAGATGAAGGAGAGAGAGATCAATAAAGTGGTGATGATGACAGACTTTAGGAGTGTGTGGTAGAGGTGTGTGGTAGAGAGGGTGTGTGGGGTGAGAGGGTGTGAGAGGGTGTGTGGGGTGAGAGGGTGTGTGGGGAGGTGTGTGGTGTGTGAGAGGGTGAGAGGTGTGTGAGAGGGTGTGAGACTACTGGACAACTCACACACACACACACACACACACACATTCAGATTAATTCCGTTGACGTACCTCAAACACTGAAACAAAATACCTAAAAATACACAATAATACACAAATATAAACAACAATAAACAATAAACAACAATAAACAATAAACAACAATAAACAATAATACAGGTTGGTATAAAGTATTGGAGAAGAAAAACAGTTTAACTTCTCAGGAGGTAAAAGAGTCGACCCTGTTGTAGAAAAATAAATTAGTCAATAACGGATATCGTGAGGAGGGAGGGAGGGGGTGGGAAGGTGGGGGAAGAGAGGGGTGTAAGGGGTGGAGGAGGGGTGGGGAATTGGAGGAGAGGGAGTAAGGGGAGGAGGAGGGGGGGAGAGGGTAAGGGGAGGAGGAGGGAGAGAGTAAGGGGAGGAGGAGGGGGAGAGGGATAAGGAGGAGGAGGGAGAGGGGTGGGGGAGGAGGAGGGGGAGAGAGGGGGGTAAGGGGTGGAGGAGGGGGGAGTGAAAGGGGTGGAGGAAGAGAGGGAGTGAGGGGGAGGAGGGGGGAGAGAGGGGGTAAGGGAGGAGGAGGAGAGGGGGGGTGGGGAGGAGGAGGGGGAGGGGGGGGTAAGGGGAGGAGGGGTGGGGAGGAGGAGGGAGGGGTCTGGGTATGTGTGCTGGGGTTTTGGGATGTGCTTTGATGTTCTGGGATGTGTTCCGGTGCTCTGGGATGTGCTGGGAATTCTGGGATGCGCTAAGATTCTGGGATGTGCTGGGGATTAATGGATGTGCTGGGGGTTATGGGGATGTGCTGGGGTTGTGGGATGTGCTGGGGTTATGGGATGTGCTGGGGTTATGGGATGTGCTGGGGTTATGGGATGTGCTGGGAGGCTCTTTAGGTCCATCGCCACCACCTGGGACGGGCAAGGGGTGGAGGGCGTGGAGTGTGGGGGGAGGGGGTTGTGTGGGTGGGGGCAGGGGGGTAGTGGGTGGGGGTGGTGGGTGGGTGGGGGGCAGGGGGTGGTGGGTGGGGTGTGGTGGGTGGGTGGGGGGGGGGGGGTGGTGGGTGGTGGAGGGGGGGGTGGAGGGGTGGGTGGAGGGTGGGTGGAGGTGGGTGGAGAGATGGGTGGGGGGAAGGGTGGAGGGGGGGTGAGGGAGTGGAGGGGTGGGTGAATATTGATTCGCATAGCTTGATTAGGGTTATTTTTTTTTTTTTTTTTCTCTCTCTCTCTCTCTCTCTCATACACATAAAAACACGCACACATGTATTCATCTATCACACACACACACACATATTTCTTGTAATACCTTCTTTATATACCTGCTTACTATACCTTAAAACAGTTTTATCAGAAATTTTCATGTGAATAGATAAAATTAACATTGCAAAAAATATATTTCCAGACTAGACATAATCATTTGAGCAAGCTCTAATCACTCTTGATTTCCATATGTAACTCTGTGTATATATTATAATGTGTAAAACCAATAAATACAATAAATAAAATAAACAAATAACAGTGATAACCGAGGTAACGTGTTCTTATTATCAATATGATATTGTACTATTCCAATATTATTAATTAATTTTATTGGAATTAGTTAATTTTACCCACACCACCCATTAAGTACTGTACTGTGGTGTCCCTCAGGACTCAATTAGATTAAAACTCGGGTTGAAACACGACGACCCTCTTCAAGGGAAGATGTTGTTTAATAATACGGGCGTTATGTTACCTAATACTTCCTTGAGATAAATGTATAGTATATATCAGGTGCCTCAAAGAGAGCTCAGGTTCTCAACTGGCTCAGCCATGTTAATATTGTTTTATCACTCTGTATCCGTGTTCTTCTGGCTAAATAAACTGTTTTAATATCAATATCTGCTTAGAGAGGAGAGAACAAGACAGACAGACAGACAGACAGAAACAGACAGACAGAGAAACATACACAGAAAGAGAGAGAGAGAGAAATTGGGAAACAGAGGCAGACAAACAGAGAGAGGGTAGGCAGTGTAAGGCAGGAAGGAGAGTGGAGAAGGGGTGGGGCGAGAGGGAGGGAGGGAGGGAGGGAGGGGGAAGGAGCAGGGGTTTGGGGGATGGAGGGGAGGGACGATGGAAGGTTCGAGGAGGGAGGAGGGAGGATTGAGGAGGGAGTGCAGGACAAGGATGGAGGGATGGAAGGGTCGAGGAGGAGGATGGAAATAGGGAGGGAGGGACAGATGGGCGTAGAGGAGGTCAGCACAGGACAATAGCCACTCAACGCGTCCAGCCGTCACCCGTCACACCCGTGTCCCCCCTCCCCCTCACACACACACACACACACACACACACACACACACACACAGTAAAAAATTATTA